AGAGAGTCTGTGGTGCAAGAAATGACATGCAGATCACATTCAAGCTCAATTTAAAGACGCTTATTACAGCAGGGATCTTGTTTATAAAGCATCTCAGAGAAAGGGAACCAATCCAGTATGGTCTAAAGCAGTGGTTCACCCTGCTCAACCTGAATCTACAGTGTCTGCCTGTTTCTCTGTCTGTCTGTCTGTCTATCTATCTGTATGCCTATATATCTGTCTTTCTGCCTATCATTCTATCTGTCCGTCCGCCCGTCTGTCTGTCTGTCTGTCTGTCTGTCTGTCTATCTGTCCGTCCGTCCCTCTATCCATCTATCTATCTATCTATCTATCTATCTATCTATCTATCTATCTATCTATCTATCTATCTATCTATCTATCTATCTATCTATCTATCTATTTATCTATCTATCTATCTACGTATCTATCTATCTGTCTGTCTGTCTGTCCGTCCGTCCGTCCGTCCATCTATCTGTCTCTTTGTCTGTCTATCTATCTATCTATCTATCTATCTATCTATCTATCTATCTATCTATCTATCTATCTATCTATCTATCTATCTATCTATCTATCTATCTATCTATCTATCTATCTATCTATCTATCTATCTATCTGTCTGTCTGTCCATCCCTCTATCTATCTATCTATCTATCTATCTATCTATCTATCTATCTATCTATCTATCTATCTATCTATCTATCTATCTATCTATCTATCTATCTATCTATCTATCTATCTATCTATCTATCTATCTATCTATCTGTCTGTCCATCCCTCTATCTATCTATCTATCTATCTATCTATCTATCTATCTATCTATCTATCTATCTATCTATCTATCTATCTATCTATCTATCTATCTATCTATCTATCTATCTATCTATCTATCTATCTATCTATCTATCTATCTATCTATCTATCTGTCTGTCCATCCCTCTATCTATCTATCTATCTATCTATCTATCTATCTATCTATCTATCTATCTATCTATCTATCTATCTATCTATCTATCTATCTATCTATCTATCTATCTATCTATCTGTGTGTCTATCTATCTGTCTGTCCATCTATAAAATAAACGTTGAGGAAAATTATGACTTTCATGCAATGAAAATAATCATACGAGTACCAAAAGTACCCTACAAGTAATCCATGAGTACTCTGCACAGTATTAACTTTATGTACTGATCTACTGAAATGAAATCTGTAAAATTCTGCATTGAATACTGAAATATACAAAAATCCCAAACAAATGTTAAAATGTGCAGAACATTAACATCAATTTACAACTTAAATGTTAATCTACCCACAGAAACCAGCTGTACCGTATGTTCCCCAAAAACTTGGAGAACAGTGCACAATTAGCTGTAGCCACTATACGCATTCCTTTCATGGAAAAGAGCAGCATGAATATTGTGCTAGACTTCTCTTTTTATGGTCTGCTGTAGAAAGTCGAAGAGTAAGTGCAGATTTATCGTGTGCGCTTTATTCCTAAACATTTGCAAAAAGTAAATAGACAAGACTGTAGAGCTGTGCAATATGACGCTGACTAGCATTTCATATCGTTTGTTTCCTGCTGTAGCAAAATAAATTTTTTTTGGTTATGCTTCTTCATCATTTAGGTGAGCACAATATTTCACACAATACAAAAATTAGACTTACAGCATGGAAAGAAAGTTGCATAGATTTAATCGTTTTAATAATTAATTGTTTAGTATCACTTTATTTTGATGGCCCCTTTAATGCATTTTTTTGAGTTTAAGTTACATTGCGTCTACATGTCAGCTAATGCCTAGTTCAGACTGCGTGATTTTAGCCCCGATTTTGGCTCGCCGACAGGTTTTGAGAAAGTATGAACAGTATGAACCATCAAAGACGCGATCTGAGAGAATCGCCGATGAGTCGCCGATGCCTGTGAGATATTTGGTGTGCTGAATATCTGGAGCTGTCGGCGATTCAAATCATGCCGTGTGAATTGAGTTTTGACTGAAAATAACATCAGCGATCGCCTACAGCCAATGAGAGAGCGGCATTCACTTGTGTGTGCGTGTGTGTATACCTGCTGCAGGCCAGCGGGAGGCTGGGGGAGAAGTTTAAAGCGGTCTTTTTTGGTTTATTTGGACCCACAAAATGGAGGAAAAACTAGTGGAGGTTTGACAGGACTCAGGAGCAACCGTGTCTGTTTAACGTTTCATACAGAAAGAAATTAGTTTATTATCAACGTTGAGGAGAAATGGCTAATTCCCTTTAAACCCAGGTGAGCAAATATGTACATTTTCTACCCCATTAAAGGCTTCTTTCTCATTATGTAGTTAATAACAAAAGATATACGATGTGTTTTTGGCTGTGAGACGTAGTTTGGACGAAGTTGTCGGCGATTCTTCCTATAGTAAAGTCATGCAATGTGAAAGTCCCTGTCGCCGAACCATCTTGCAGTGTAAACAAAGCAGCGACGAAACGCCAGCCCAGATAGTCATGCAGTGTGAACACATCTGTGACACGACTACTTTGAACATCATGCAGTCTGAACTCGGCATAATTCTCATTAGATTATAAGTGGCCTGTTAGGCTTGGGTGGGGGTTAGTGTAAGTTGACGTGTACTTGCAAAGTTTCTTATAGTCAGTTAAATGTCTATTGGAGCAGTATAAGCAGATATAAAGCAGACAGTCTACTAATAAGTCATTGGCATGTAGTTTCAATGCAACTTTTATTCAACAAAATGTGCAATAAGGACCATCAAAATAAAGTCTTGCCATTTTTTTTCTCTGCCATGATGACAATACAATAAATGAATAGTTCAGATGCAAAAACATCTAAGTGTCATCGGAAATTTGCTTCTAAAACGAGCATTTTTTCTCAGGATCCTATGTTTGTTTTCACTTTAAAGGCAATGCAAAAAACATATTACAGTTTTTCTCAGTGGCTTTGGTGCATTTCTCAACACTATTTACATTTGCACAACAGTTAATGCATTTCTCAAAACAGTTAGTCATTTGTGCACATCATAGTAGCAGTTTCTCATTCCTTCCAACAAATTGCAAATGCTTTTGAACGTGCATCAATTGCTTTCATACAACTCTCTGCTGTTTTATAACATTATCATCTGCTTATGTCATGTCAGTCAACATGAAATAAACTTGTGAATGCTGAATAGTCAGTCCATATAAAACCAATAGTCCTCATTTCATTACTGGATTCACCACATACAAAAATGTTGAACTAGATGTCAAAATCTGTCAAGCTAATTTTATTTTAAAAATGTAAATCTTTTTTTTTTGTCCTCAAAACATCTTCTAAATTAAACAATTTGGTGAATGATTTACAGACCTGTGTATGTTGCAGGTTCAGGTCCAATATGTACTGCAGTATTGTTCACAGTTGTGCACAGCTCTACTCAAAGGGAGTTTCTGTTTGTTGTAAATAAGGGTGTGTTTATTCGTTTGCACAATGCTGTGAGTAAATCAGAATTGTAAAGAGCAAATGCAGTAAACATGTGAAACATACATATTCAGTGTCTTGTACTCAGATACCTCAGTAAATGCAGCGATGTCTAACTTTACTGTAGTGTTCAAATGGCTGTGCAAAAAAGTGCTGTCTTGGGCATTTTCAGGACGTGTCACCAACATCTGACTTTTTTGTATTGAAAAAATGCCCAGAGTAAACTGCCATAATGAAGACATGACAGCCATTTGACTATCTTGTTCATAAACAATGGTGTCAGGACTTATCATCTTGATCACACTGACACTTTCATTGACATCAATACTTGCTTTTGAGGAATGAGCTGTCCGTTTAGAGCAAGTGACGCACTTTTGCAGGTTATCAGCTAGGTTTTGCAGTTTGTACTAACTGTTTTGAGAAATGCATTAACTGTTGTGCACATGTAAATAGTGTTGAGAGAAATGCACCAAAGCCACTGAAAAAAAAAACATAGCAGACAGTCTACTAATACTCAGATGAGAAGTCATTGGCATGCAGTTTCAATGCAACTTTTAATTAACAAAATGTGCAATAAGGAACATCAAAATAAAGCCTTACATTTTTTTTCTCTGCCACAATGACACTACAGTAAATAATACTTTAATATACATTCAGCAAAATACTAGTGCAATTTAAAGCCTTAACATAGTACACTCTCAGTAATAAAGGTACAAGAGCTGTCAAAAGGTACATATTTGTACCTGAATGGTTCATAATGATATCTCAAAGGTACTTTTAAGGTACATTCGGATACTAATATGCACCTTTTAGGTACCACTGTGGACTATTTGGGTACAAGTATGTATCTTTTAAAAAGGTACTGCCCCGGTGACAAGCTCGTGTACCTTAATTCTCAGAGTGTAGCTAGGTTAATTAGACAAGTTATGGCAAAACAGCGGCTTGTTCTGTGGCCAAATGGAAAAATAGTAGTTGTAGGGCTAATAATATTAACCTTTAAAAGTGTTTGAAAACATTTAATAACTGCTTTTATCCCAGCCACACTAAAAGAAATAAGACTTTCTCCAGAATAAAAACTTATACTGTAATTAGAAATACTCGTATTTCGGTAACACTTTACAATAAGGTTCATTAGTTAATGCATTTACTAACATGAACTAATCATGAACAACACATGTACAGCATTTAATAATCATAATTGAACATTTACTAATGCATTATTAACATTCAAGTCCATGCTTGTTAACATTAGTTAATGCACCATGAGTTGACATGAACTAACAATGAACTACTGTATTTTCATTAACTAACATTAACTAACATGAACAAATACAGTAGTAGATGTATTGTTCATTGTTTGTTCATGTTAGTAAATGCATTAACATTAACTAACGAACCTTATTGTAAAGTGTGACCCTTATTTATAAATAATAAAAATAATCATTCACAATAAGCCTCATAACTGTATATGTTCATCTTGCTATGGGATGTTTGTCATATCGCTCAGCTCTACAAGAAACAGTGCATGCACAGGACAGACCCACACAGAAAGTAACTTACAGGAAGGATTTAACGTCCAGGCCTCGCTTCTTTATCTGACCCATCATGTGATCCACGCTGCCAGGGTTTCCGGAGCCCCGCCCCCCGGCACCTGCTGACCTATGTTGGGCTGGCTCTCCCCTTGAGTTCCTCGAGCCTGCTCCGCCCCCTCCCCCAGGCCCCGCCCCTCCTGGCTGGGTGTGCAGCTGCCCCAGACTCTGGGAGATCGGCGGCCTACTGGCTAAATTTGGAGGCGGAGCCTGGATCAGCGGCTGCTGGAGGCTTTGCTGACGCAGTAAAGTGCGTGGCCGAGGAGTCGCCCCTGCTGACGGGACGTAGTCCAAAGTCTCGACCGAAGAAAGGGTGTGGTCGGATAGACTGAGCGGGCAGAGTAAAAAAGAGGGCAAGGAGCGGGATGAGGAAGGGCGGGAATGACAAAGCGAGGGATGAGGGAGGAGAAGAAGAGAAGGCGGGACGAGAACAAAAGGAGACGGAGAAGATTTGGAAGGATTTGTAGAAGATTCAGACGGACATGAGGGGAGATGACGAGAAGACAAGTTGAACAGATCATCCGGATGAAGGAAAGTCAGGGGGTTTGTTTGAGAAGATAATGGAGACGAAACGTTCCAGGAGGAACGGGGGCAGAATGGGACAGCCAAAGAGGAGAAAGGCAATGAAAGGAGAGTGTCGTCGGGTGGAGGAAGAGGGGGAGGAGGAGGAGGGCGAGGTGTAGGCGGGGAAAGGAGGAGAAGGAGACAGAAAGAGAGAAGCATCAAACAGAGGCAGTATCCACCATAACACAAGTAGCAGGAAAGCCCACAGTCGGCCTGCTCTGTGTGAGTCTGCAGGAGTGTGTGTCCGTTCCCGGCCCGAGCAGCACTGCCTTGAGCTGACGGCGAGCGGTGGGTGTGTGCATGTGTTTGGGAGGCGTGTGCTTGCTGTTTGCGGGTGCGTGTCTGATTAGATCGCGGTGTGTGTCGGGATTGTCCTGAACGAGCGTGAGCGTGTGTATGCCGCGGTGTGTGTGTCGTCAGTCGGCCACCGCCGGTTCTTCCAGGAGACTGTTTCTTGGTGTGCTGCGAGCCTCCCATCCTCTCTATTCTTCACACTCCCCTTTCTTCTTTTAACTTTGCCTGTCGATGCTCATTTTAAGTAACACCGCGGCCCCTTGTGTTTTCCTTCAGCAGCCAACCATCTACGCCGATTCATCCGTCATCCTTTTATCCTCCCCTCCCTTCACAATCACATCCCTCCGTTTTTCTCATTAGCCTTGTTTCACGTCTGCTCTGAAAACTGTGCCACCTCAGAAACTTCGCTGCCAGTCGTAAACAGGAGACGGTTAATATATTGTTCTCCATTTCAGCTTCAGGACAACAAAGCATGTGTTCAGGTTGTACATTTTGGGTTGAAAAGTTTAGCCTGGGGATTCACTACTCGCCCTCAAGTGGTTCCAAACATGAGCTTCTTTCTTCTGTTGAACACAAAAGAAGATTTTCGTAAGAAGCTGAAAACCTTGACTTCCATAGGAGGAAAACAAATACTATGGATGTCAGTGGATGCCAGTGATTACCTCTTCAAAATGTCTTCTTTTGAGTTCAACAGAAAAAAGAAACTCAGGTTTGGATGAAGGGAGAGTAAATGATGAGTTTTCAATTTTGGGTGAACTATCCTTAAGAAGCAAGAGCGTCCATCTCAGGAGGATCCTGCAGAGATTCGTTTAAGAGATTACAATCCTTCTTCTGTAGCCCTGAATTATTTAAACTCCTATCATTGTTAAACACTCCTGAACCACAAATAAAGTTCTCACTAGGCATACTAGAAGCTTCCAGACTGATGTGTTAAGGCCAGTTATACTCTGCAAATCAGCATTTTTTGGTAGTGTTCGGACACCCCTGGTTTATTACCTTCTCCAGTTGACCCTTCTCAAATTCCCACCCATGTTTTCTATGTCCGACAAGCTTTCAGCAATCATTCTGAACAAGTTTAATCTCGACGCATCTGCTAGTTCGCTTGAGTGTGTGCGGCGAATGTGACGTCAGAGTTTGCAGAGGTTCGCTTTGGGTGTGCACGACATGATTTCGGCTGGCAGAGCGCATGATTTTTAAAAAATTTTTTTTTAGACTCAAGCGAACAGTTCGCAGGGCTCCCCGTTTGATTTGAGTTGAATATAAACCAGTTTAAAGAGATTTTGTCTGAAACAGTATGACTGTATAGACATCTTTATGATCCGTGATCATAGAGATAACAGTAATTCTTGGCTAGAAATTGCACCAGCAGTGGGAAAGGAGGAAACTATTTGGAAAGGTTTGGAAAAACCTGAGGGATAAGTTTGTAAAAGGGTCACGAAACACCAAAACACATTTTTTGAGCTGTTGCCAGTCGTATATGTGTCCCACACTGCTAAAAACACTATTAGGACACCTATATTTCACTAAAAAGTGTAAATTGGTTGTTTTTGCGTTATTTTAAGCAAATTCGTACTTCCGGTTTGAAACGAATTTTTGAAGCTGCGTCACGGCCATGACATAATAGCGTGTATTCCAGCGTGCAGACTGGGCGTCTGTGCCAGAGTGTGTCTTATTACGTCTTACAGTGTGATGCATTAATGCAAACCAATCAGCGCGCTCTATTGTGCAACTTCATTAATATTCATTACTGTCACGGTGTTTAGACGACGTTAGCCACGTTGTAATGGCAAAACAAGCGTGAAGTGTTGCTTTTATAGTTTGCTGCAGTTAAGTTTTGTTTTCATTTTCTCTCTGTGAGTGCTCAGCTGGAGTCACGCGTGGATTAACAGTGTACGCAACGCTCGACAACAATAACTTACATGTCTAAGGAGGATTATTGTTTACCTGAGAGCTGTTCTCATCTGCAAACGCTGAGATCTGGATTCGCTTGTAGTCTACTCTTCATAAAGACACGGCTCTAGTTGCTTGTGATTGTCCTGTCTCTACAGATTTGGTAAGTGAGCGACCAGTGCTCTTTGTTTATTCAGTTTGTTCGTATCGAACCAAGTTAACTATTGCACCGAGTGTAAACATGTTAGCACCACAACCAAACTTTAACCTCGTGTAGGGTTTTTACCGCATTTACTGACCGGAATAACACACGCGGCTTTCTGACGCTACCTGCCGTGTGCATTTAAGTTTCTGGGAAATGCAGAGGTTTTTTTTTCTCTCATTCGCCGTGCGGTATCAAACATTGCATGAAAAATACACGCTTAGAGCAGTTCCTTGAATCAAATATCTCGTTTGTCGTGAGGGGCATGAATGAATTCCCTGAATAAAAGAGCCAAACTGCAGTTAAAGTCCACCATTTAATCATTTGGCAAATAATTCGACTACAGATGTCCATGTAGGTTAAACACCATCACTTTCTCCTGTGTGTGTGTATTTTGACTCTGTAACTCGCGTGTGCCCAAATAGACACTCCCACACCCTCCCACTTTAGTTCCTCCGACACTCCCCCCTAAACTGAGCTGGACACGCCCACTTTTCTGGTGTGAAAACACCCTGCTGAAATGAGGGGGTTTCATGGCCCTTTAAAACCAAAAAAGGCCATGGCAAACGTGGAAACCCAGATACACAATTACAGAAATATGTTTTTCCACCTTTCATAGGTTTTACACTGATGTATATATTACAGTTTTGAATTTAAAACAATAATAGTTACAAAACTATAATTAAGGAACAAATTATTTCTGGAATATATAACTGGAAAGGAATATTTGAACCTATCAGTTCACAATATACTGATGGCCTGTTTTCTAGGCTTTATTGGTGATAATGGTCAGGAATGTTGGAGCATTATTGTCTTTTTAGCATAAGAAGAGAACATAAACTAGCCAGACAGAAATGTGTGAATTGTGAAGCGGGCTAAATCTAAAAAAAACATTTGTATTTTTTATTAAGTGTACTTTTTATTTTTGCCATACTAAAGAATATATTTGTAGAGCGACCCATGTTCTGTTGTCATTAATATTTTAATAAATTTTAATAGGAAAAACTGTCTAAAATATAAACAAAAGCAAATGATGAATTAAAGTTTCATAAAAAAAAATCTTGAATGGTTATAAAACTCCTTATAATCATTTAAATAAAATAAAAAAATAATTAGTTTTAAAGTCTTGAATGATATTAATGATATGACATAGTTCCGGAAACTTCCTAATTCTCTGTTTATCCGTCCGACTTTACTGTCAGTTTCTTTTGACCGCTCCCTGTCATTTTAAAGAATATCACAACGGCGAACGCGTGAAGTATAAAAGCCTTGTGCGTTTCGTGAGGTGCGCACGCAGTCAGCAGAGGCGCGCGATTCAGCAAAAGTAGGCGAAAGCATAAATCCAGCTTTAGGGTCTGCAATATGCGTAGGAGGAATGTGAGCATAACTTGAAATGAAAACAAAATACCGACTGAAGCTACAGCATAGCATACGGGAAGTTTGGATCATTTGAATAATCAAAATGTTATATAAGGTGGCATCTCGGGCACAGAATATAGGCTGCATCTCCTGTCAATCAAACTGCCTGTGAGGGGGCAATTAAATGCACTGAACCAAGAGCTAAGGTTATTAGGTTTAATAGAAACTTTAAGCAGGTGTATTAGGGTTAGCAGGGTTAGTTTTTAACATTGCAGCTAATGGACCCATCGGGAGCAGATATGGACACTTTTGCCTTGAAGGGTTATCTATGATATACAGTATCTATGCTACACAGCTGTGTTAAAACCCATTATAAAAGTGATTTTTGCATAATATGTGCTCTTTAAAATGTGCAAATTAATACCAAGAAATGTAGAGTACATTGCTTAGTACTAATTTGCACATTTTAAAGGGGACCTATTATGCAAAAATCACATTTGTTATCGGTTTTAACACAGTTGTGTGGCAGCAGTGTGTGAATATAACCAGCTTCTAATGGTAAAAATGTATTCATTTTATTTTTTATAATCACACTTGATAAAAACAGTCTGCAGAAACACTTTGATTGACATTCTCCTTTTATACATGTCATCAGAGGGGGAAAGCCCCGCCCATTAGTGACCATCTCTTCCTCATTTGCATAAACAGCCCTAAGTGAGTAACAGCCATCCACCATTAGAGTTTTTGTGCCGTACCTGCCGAAGATAATGTCAGCGACTATGAAAACGATAAATGATAATAGGCATGTGTAGCCCCGCCCTCTTTTCACAATTTTATTTGAATTTAAAGCGACAGTCACCAAAGCGGCAAAATTTGAATCAAAGCCTAGAAGGGGTAGCTTATGAAACATTTGTGGTATTTTAAGCTGAAACTTCACATACACACTCTAGGAGCCATTTGTTTACTTTGTTTAAAGGTTTATGTTGTATTGATTTCTTTCATTTAGGAGATATGCACCC